CTCCTGATTTGTAAGTTTTACTACCAGCTGTACTTTGCATAGGTATGTGGCAATCCCGATTTTGAATAGAGAAGGAAGATACTCTATTTTCAAGAATATCTGCGGTTCCAGTGTTTTATGTGGAATTACAGGAAGTGAAAAGTAGTATATTATTTAGCCCCCCTGGTTAAAAACCTTACTAAAGCTACTGAATCTTCATTTTTCTGAGCTCTTTTTTTGGTGCAGTTGACTGTCTTACATGACATTGAAGCTAAAGCATCCCATCTGTTTACCACATTAACCAGCATTACTCAATTCTTAAGCTATCACCTTGCATTTGGCATGTAACAGGTTAGATTTAAAATATTTTTTGAGGCAAGAAAAATGGCAAAAAGCAAGTTGCAGTAGCTTTCTTAATGCATTAACTGGAAGTTAATGTTTTATGTTGTCATTTTATACTGTCTTTTTCTGTTTTTCATTGGGTTTGGGGGTGGTTTGGGGTGGTTTTTTGTCCTGAGATCTATTTATAACTGATTGAAGCACTTTTGCAGGTGGTGTTTTTTTGCATGCTAATCCTGCAGTGAAACATTGTGTCCAACAAAGTATGCTGGGTCAGCAAAAACAAGAAACTTGTGCTGGAAAGACAGTATCCACAGGTATTTAGTGTGTATGGAGATTTGGCAAAATGAATAATTAACTATCATTGACAGAAAAAAATCTGGTAGAAAGTTGTGCATTTTCTTCTTTCCCATAGAAAAGATATTCTTCTTTTCACATTCAGCAAAAGACAACAAACACCCATTGAATAAAATATTTCATTATTCTTTTTCATATGTGTTCTGCATTTCCCTTCAAAACAAGATAATCCTTTTTTGTGTTTGTGTTATTTTCTGTCACTTCTCCAGTCATAACAATTTAAATACATTCTTATGCAAGTGAAGTGGTCCTAAAAGGATTATTAAAAAAAAATTAACATTATTATGCAGTAGTTTCTGGTGTATTAGTGGTTTATTCTAATATTCAAAATAGACCAGATTAGTGGGGAAAATTTAATTTCTTCTCAAGTTTTCTACAGTGTCTGAGTTAGCAATGTTACATGCATTACATAGAGAACAAACTGAAGGAGGTACAAAGAGAAGGCAGGACAGATTGGAGTAGACCAGACGTGAATAACTTGGGAAGGAAGGGGAACCATGAATGAAGAGGAGCCCTGTGGAAGACTTTGTTTCCTCCAGAGGATTCTTCCCAGCATGGCTATTGTCAAAGACTTTGATGCATTGTTGTTTATTTTTTTTAAAATTTGTGTATCACTATCCGGTCCTATACAATTTTAAGGTTATTTAGAATGGGTGAGACAAGAGCTTATGACATCCTGCAAGTTTCTCAGTGGTTTGATATTGCAGGTGCTAGCATGGTAACCCTTAATGTTTTAACAGAGACTTTTAAAGTATATGAATTGAACTGCATTTGATTTAACATTGTGCTTAATTAAAGTGTCTACCTGTTGCCCCAGTTCTATGCCTATTTGAAAGACTTAGAACATGAAAGTTAAAAATGGGCATCACATCATTTAGGTATTAAATCTAAGGTTTTGTTAACTTCATTATTGTTAATAATTTTAGAGGAAGTGTAAAAATTTTTGGCTTCTAGTGAAGAACCTGTAGACTGATGTGTAGAAAGAAAGTTGTCTAAAACAAAGGGCCATCCTCAAAAATGCCATTGCAGAACCTACCTTAACTGAAAATTCCCTTTCTTAGATGGAAGACTTCATTCCAAAAGCATTGAAGGCTTTTCCTCAGGTCACAACTGACAAGTCAGAATGAGTCTTTTGAATCAGAGAGAAATAGTTTGGCAGAAAGTGTGGAATAGAAGTGGAATGTCCCTAGAAGTGCATATTAAGTTTCCAAATGGTCTTATTGTAGCCAGAGAGCCAGAACGTAGTCGAGTCATTCAGTGCCAGGGTGGTGAACAGAAATTACTGGAACGATCTCTGTGTGCAAAGGAAATTGTTGGAGCTTTTTGCCAAGTATAAATGGAAAAAATAGTTTGGGTCACTGATGATACTTGCACGTTCTGGGTAGGGTCAGCAGGACCTCCAGTCTGTGAATTGACTGACTGCTTTTTCTTCATGCAAGATGCTACATAATCTTCCACCAGTTCTTCCAATTAGCTTTTCCAGTCCATAAGCAAAACTTTAACTGAGTGTGGAGGATCGTCAGACAGCTAGTCTGCATCTAGCCTGTCTCTATATTTAGACACTGGCTAAGCTGCTTAACTACAGCAGCTGTGTTGGATGAGAGGGAATTAGAGTTGAGTATCTGTTGCTTACCAGAAGCACTGCAATGAATATTTCTGCACTAGATTCTAATATAAAATTGGGGTGGGGCAAGGAAAAAAAAAAGCTTCACTGAAGGCTGATTCCAAACATAGCTTGCCTGGAAGATGTATTTATGATAAAATTGCGCTTGCTGGAATAAGAGCGTTTGTGTAAAAATCCCTTCTCAAGCAGTTCTATCAATGCTTAGTATTGTGTTAACTGCATAAGAAGAATATTGGTCTAAATGGACCTTGTTTCAAAGAGCATTTTGTGGTTGATATTTATGAAGGTCTTGGCTTCTAGAAGGATACTTTCTTGTGGAATGCTGAGAAAATATGTGGAGATTCTTTCGTTAAAGAGAAGTGATTTTATTGCCTAATTTTGCAGTAGGCAAGTCAGCGTATTTGGGAAGCATATGCTTACTTTTAAAGGTAGTGTCAAGTGTAATTTCTACAAATACTGCCTTCTACCCTCAAATTAACCTTTCTTTTGTGGTGCATTAGCTGCCATTTCTACATTTTTGTAAGGGTAGTGTGTCTGGAGCAAAACTTCGGTCTCTTCCTGAACTCAAATAATTTGTTGCCATTAGTAGAGAGCAGGCGCCTTATAACTTGAAGTGTAAAGTAGCACAGGTAGCAGTCTGCTGAAGTGCTGGTTTTCCTAAAAAGTTTATGCAAATTAAAAGCAGCAGCAAGAGGATATCCGGCAGGAAACAAAAAATAATCTGAGTATTACTAGCAATTTTTGTAGTTGAAAACATAAAGGTTTCTATGTATTTGGTGGTTGTAGATTGTCAAAAATTAAGTTCTTAAGTGAGAAATAGTATATGCTTTTTGCTTTCGGAGAGTAAAAAGGACTGTAGGGAAACAGAACTTTAAATTTAGGATGTTTCTGCTTTTTCCAGGTTGCACAAACTCTGTAGGTCTGGACTTACCCCAGGGATCTCTCTGTTTGTGCAGGATTTCCGTATATAGTAGTCCAGTCTACACAAAATTTCCTTATCTAGTAGTCCAGTCCACACAGAGTATCTAGAAATTCTGGACATCTCTACAGACATTGAGCAGAAAGAAAGTTATGGTTGTGCCCAGTAGTTTCACTTAATTGGAGGATCAAGAAGGTGCATAATAGACTTCATGTTTGATGCTACAGATGGCAATAAATGGATCAAAGGTTTATTCCCTGCATAGTTATTACTCTCTAACCTTGTGTAGGTCAAAGGGTTTTGAGAAGCATCAGACTAACTATGTATGAACCAAACAATTTACATGTGATTGCTCAGTGAAACTGGCATGTCCTGAAGGCAGTGGATTTACTGCACATGTGCATACCATGAGTATGTGCATATATCAGTCCAGAAGTTTTGGTCATGAAATTTGATGGATCTGTAACTTACAGTGTACTTTGCTAAGTGTGTCACGTGTGAGAAGAACATCCAGGATTAAGATAAACTTACTGGACTTTCCAGCATTGGTAATAAATCACACTTACCTCTATAAGTCCATAACCATGTATGGCATTTGTAATACCAGGCTTTAAAATAGTAAGGAATGGAAAAATCCCTATGGAATTATCTTACTGCAATATTTGAAGGTCCCAGCATTTACTATTACATGTTCTATTCAAACGTGATTCCTCTCTAGATAAATTTTTCTTACATTGTTGCCTTCCCAAATTGCCTTCCTGCTTAGGATCTTTGTAGTTGAATTTTCTGTGGTTGAGATTGCTGGGAATTTTTTTTTTTTTTTTTTTTTCCTCCCCACAGGAAACCTATCCCATTTTTTTAAGTACTGGAAGCACCAGTAGTTGAATGGGGCTGTTATATGAAATGGTAGTGGTACAATGAGCTATACAGCAAATCCTATTGTATGGAGTGCCTGAAAAGGTCAGCATACATCTCTGCTGCTCAGTGCAGATTATCTTCCACATTTTACCTTTTTCCTTATATTTATTTAATTATCCACACATTCTTCTTTACTAAAAATGTTTGCAACACTAACCAATACAAGCAGAAATAAGAAGGAACCGTGATAAAACCTTGATAAATTGCATCTTTCGAGAAAATATTTGAATAACTTAACTACAGTAGTCCTGTGTATTAAAGGCACATAGGCAACGTGTGTGATTGAGTATTTAACAGTGGTGCGTCTTCTCTCATTACACTATTTGCAAGTTTTATATCAGTAATTTTTTTTAACACTTCTATCAGGTAAGCTTTGGTCTGTTGCTGATAAAACCCACAAATTCTAAATTCTGCAGAAACTCTAAAAGATAGCATTGACTTTGGTTGAGAGATACAATCAGAACGGGTGTTCAGAAAAGTTCTGCATCATAGGATTTCAATCCTGTCCTTCCAGCTGAATATTTCCAACGTGCTAGTCAGCTTTTCCAGGGCAGAAGAGGCTTTTAAGTGCATTTGTTCTGAAATGCCATGTAGTTTCTAAGCTAAATGAAGCATTCATTTAAGATGAGATTAAGAGGTTTTTTTTTTGCATATCTGTATTCAAGCACATTGCTTCAGGGAATATTCTTGTCCATGAAACATGTGTAATTCTAAACTTAATTTAGTGGTCATTTAAATACCTTATTATTTTTAATAAATTTGTGTATAATAGTATCTGTTGTAAGTAGTTTTATTTTCAATACTGTATTTTTTTTAAAAAGAAATACTGTATTATATTGCATCTTTCTTATGTTGTTATTACAGATAAACACAAATCCCCTTCAGATATAATACGAAGTTTTCAGAAGAAAAATCAGTTTAGGACCATTGCTCCAAAACTGGTACCAAAAATTTTAACATCTTCAGTGGTTTCTTGTCTTCAGTCATCTTCGCCTGATCAAAAGCCACCAATTTCAGTTGCAGGTTCTAAACCACTGGTGGTACCAACTCAAAACTATGCTCTTATGCAGGTGCCTGGTCATGAGGGAACTTTCTCCTTGTTGGCCTTGCCATACGTTGCCCCTGGCCTAACACAGCAAGTCCAGCAGTCAAATGTGGGCCCTTCTAAAAACCCAAAGCTGCCTATCCCTAGGTACCAATCTGTAAGAAATAAAATGCTGAGTGACAAAAAAATGGCACAGATCTCTGGTTTGGGTGCACATAACAAGGTTCCTACCAAAGCATCGATCTCATCACAGGCTTCCCTCGTGACTGCTTTAAGTGAAGACTGTCCTGAAACTCATTCTAGTTCAGATTCAACTGAGCAAGCAATGCTAACAGACCGTGACTCAGCTGAAATTACCGTTGCCACATTAGTAAATAAAAGCAATTGTGTGGAATCTGGATCTCTTTTAGAGAACAAACCTGAAAGTGCCAATAATAATGTTTCTGGACCATCTGTAGTTAAAGACTCTCTATCCAAGCTGGCAAGTGCAATTAATCCCAAGAAAACAAGTCTACGCTCTGTGAAGAGAGCATCTGAAACCACAAGAGAGTCATTCATAACATCTGAGAAACTAAAGGAAAAACCCACAAATTCCGCAAATTCTGTTGCTGTCCTGTCACCAGCATTTTTTGGCAGTACAATACAGATGACTCCATCAGCACCAAAAGGAAAACTTCCTATTTTGCCTTACTCAAGGGTAAAAAATTCAGTGTTCTGTAAATCTAAGGAGAATACTAATGTTACAGATGCATCTGGTCCTTCACCAAGTTCTGAATGTGAAAAGACACCAACTTTGGCAAAAACCTTTCATGTTCCTGCTAAAGCATCTGATAAGCGGTTAGCTGTGTCATTTACACAAGTCCCCAAACAAACCATTCGAGAACGTACCTTCTCTCCATCCAATAAAGTGGATATTGACAGTCTTAAAAAAAAGAACAGTGCAGCCTCTAAAAGAAGAGGCAGGAAAAGAAGAGCCCCAGATGATCTGTTGGCTTTTCAGACCAAGCGAAGGAAATGCATCATTAATAAGTTTAAAGAAGGAAGAGAGAGGGCGAAAGTTGATCTTCAGCCACCTGATGGCAAAAAAGCAGAGGCAGTGAAAAAATACCGTAGTATTAGACCAAAACCAGTGTTAGTTGTGCAGACTTTTGCACCTCTGACTTCTGCAGCAACAGTAGAGACACCATCTCCTGACCGCTTAGACCAAGGAACTTTTTTAAATAGATCACTTCCCAAAAAACATACAAGTTATAAGCATAGTGATGCTACATCAGCTAAATCAAGTGATTTAAGTAGAAATGCATGTTCAGACGTACCTAAGCAGTTGCATAAATGTCATGTTTGTAACCACATCTTCCAGTTTAAACACCATCTTCAGGACCATATGAACACCCACACAAACAAACGGCCCTACAGCTGTCGAATTTGCCGCAAAGCGTATATTCATTCTGGAAGCCTGAGCACGCATATGAAACTTCATCACAATGAAGGCAAACCCCAAAAGCTCGTGTGCTGTGAATTCTGTGCTAAAGTTTTTGGCCATGCAAAAGTGTATTTTGGACACCTCAGAGAAGTCCACAGGGTTGTTATCAGCACAGAGCCCTCTACTAGTGAGCAACAGCTGCAAGATGCTTTGAAGAAGAGAGACACAAATATAAAAGAGGCGGAAGAAGCAACAGAGAGGTGAGTATTTTCACTAATTAAATGTGAATGAAAACAGGATTTCAAGTTGCCAGTCGAGATTCATAAATAATCACCCTTATGAAAACTGTCGCTTTTTTCCTCCAGTCAGTGAGATTCCTAAAGGTTTAAATATTTTGTTACGAAATCTATTCAATCCATTAGACCATCTGGTATATTTTAGCTGATTTATTGACTATAAAGTATTACTGACTCTTGAATAACCAAAGTAATTTTGCATATATTCTAGTACTATGCAATATACTGCCAGTTGAGCTATTTTGATCAGTTGATTTCTCATAGCTAACACTTTTTCTGTTTATCTATGCTCTCTTCTGTGTCCTACCAGTTTTGGGGTTTTCCCCAGAAGATGAGAGAACCAAGTGCAACAAGTGAAAAGCAATTCATATTTCAGTATTATCTTGTAGTTTGTTTATCATATTAAATACATTATCCCATTTCCTTCTCTGGAATGCTGTGAACTAACCTGTGCTCTGTGCTTATTACTGCTGCTTTATCAATCACTTAGCCAAGTAGAAAAGTTAACATTTACCATATTAAGATGAATAGAACATTTATCTCTGCCTTACGATTTTGAGGTGAAATTTCTTCACACAATGTAAATGTTGGCTTCTTTGTTTGTTCCATTGTGCATTTACTTTCATGAAGGTATGCCTTATTAAGCTCAGGGCTTCAACCTGATACCTCACTATGACACTACCATTCAGTTTTAGACATTTTGCTTTGCATAGCTCCACTTTGTGGGGCATCAGCAATTTTTCAGGTATTGAACCTACAAAATACTAGTGCTTTTCTTACAGCCTTACTAGCATTGTACAATGAATCATTCAGTTTACTTATCTCGTTGGATAATCTGTCTAATATGTAGAAACACACAGTATAATGTGGTCCTTTTCATAGACATTGTGAGTTGGTTTCTGTGGAGATCTTAATTTGATTAGCTTAGCTTAAACCAGGGATTTACTAGCTCTGTGTGTAGCTGCTTCCTTCGTACCGCATAGTTGTCCTAAATCAGTGAGAGGGGCTGTCCAGTTGTAAGTTAGGTATTTAAAGTTTTAAAACCAGACTTTTTAAACTAAAGTGTTACAGACTTTTAGGAAGAAAAAAAAAAAAAAGCAGCTTTCAAGTTTCATTATTTCCATCTTGAAGTAGGAGGTGGAGTATGTGGTTTTGCCTTAAGCTGACCTTAGATCACGCAGTGTAAACACGTTAGATCTCTTAGCAGTACGCTACAGGTAATACTTATTTTCATTTTTCTAGCTCAGAATTAGAAGTATTTGCATTGACCTCGCTAAATCAGGAACTTTAAAAAGCATTTTTAACCTTTTATTAAAATCTTGGTGTTGCTAAAAGATTATTTATACCAAGGCTAATTTTGGAGACTATTCTTAAACTCAGCAGTGTTGAATAACATTTGGTTTCAGTGTTTTCCTAATCACCCTTATTATTACATTATTTCTCCTTTTTTTCTTCTCAAAATAATTTAATTGCTATAGCACAGTGCCTGGTTTTAATTAAATGAATGTTTTATGAATGTCATCTCTTCTTGGAACTTACGAAGACAGACATTGCCATCCCTGTTCTGTGCATAGCTAATACTGAAATAGCTCATATTTCCTTTTTTTTTTTAACAGGGGAAATAAATGCAATTTTGAGGACTTATTCCATAACCCAGGAGAAGTGAAATTACAGGTCAGATGTGGTCGATGCCAGTTTATTGCGCAGTCTTTTGGTGAAATGAAGTTTCACTTACTGTGCTCTCATGGACAAGAGATCCAGGGAAGAGTAAAGGAAGGGGGTTTGCAAGGAAATAGAGGAGTGAAGGGGGAACTGATTAAACATGCAACCCACTTCTGGAAACAGCACAATGAGAGAAGACATTTAGCAAAATGCAGTGCCCATGAGGAGGATGTTTATACTTTTCCAAAACTGAAAAGACAGATCTACTTGCACCATCAAAATAATGTTGATGTATCATCTAAAAGTGAACTGACTCAGTCAGGAAGTGGTGAAGCAGCCAAGGAGATGCAAAATGTAGGTTTTGGTACACCTAGCAGAAAAGCAGAAATCTCTTCTAAAGTGAGCTATAACTGCATTTTATGCAAACAGTTATTTGGAAGAAAAGAGGATCTTTGTAATCATTGGCAGAGTCATCATAACTGTGAAGACCCTTCCACTTTATGGGCAATTTTTAGTTTGTTATCAAAACAAGGAATTATTGAACTTTCTAACAGTGGTGGATACTGAAGCTCAATTCTACAATGCTAAGGAAAACATCAACTGCCTTACCGAACTGTTGACTGTTTCTTGATGTGTTGCTAAACTAATTCAAGAGATGTATCACTTCAGAGGTTTGTTTGGTGGGTTTGTTGGGATTTTAACCTTTATTTTGTTAAATCAAAAATGTATTTATCCAGGATCATTCCCGATGGGTAACTGCAAGCCTTTTGTGAAGCACTGTACTTAAAATTCTTGGTTAAGGAACTTAGCAGCAGCTCATAGTAGGTACTAATGGTTAACATCAAGGAAAAAATATTTTCCAGTTAAATTATACTATGCACACAGAAATAAATCAGTTTATATAAAGTAATCTCAGTCTTGAATGAAATGACAAATCAGACTGGAAGTGCAATTTCTGTGCTTCCAGATTTTATGGTAAATATGTGAATATTTCCATGCAATTCTCTGGATCATTTGAATGTGCCTACATGCAGCCAGCATTCAAGAGCTTTATAATCTATAATTTAAAAGCTTTTTATTCATGTTTTTTGATTTTAGTATCATCAGCCATGTTCATTGCTTTCAGGTTTGTTATTGACAAGTCTTTTAGGTGTTACATTCTGTCCTGGGAATAGCAAAGATCTCTTGGATTTCACTTTAAAGTGAAAAATCTACATGTATTTCTTTGCCTGTAGCTGTTTGGGTTGAAGATAAGTTAGTTGTCACCTCTGAAGAGGAAACCCTCAAAGCTTGACTGCTTTATGAAAAAAATAAAAGTTTTAAAAATAGTCAGCTGAGTTGGTTAGTCCTGGGAAGTTTGACATTCTGCAATAGACTGCATGTTTCATGGTGAACTTTCAGCATATTTCGTATACCTTCTGTGACAGCAGCCCTACTGTTGCCAACGCTGTTAGCTCTCTGCGTTAGCACTCTTGGCATGTAGCTTTTGTACCTGTGCAGTTGACCCAGTCTGTACTTTAAAGGGAAATTGTTCTTTCACTTCTGAGTCTATAGTGCAGGTAATGAGTTGGTTTTCACTTGTGTTGCCAGATTTGCAACCAGAGGAACTGCATGCAGCACCTTAACCTTCCAGTATCAGGAGCCGGTAGCAGTTACCTTACCAGGATGCAAAGCTGTAGCAGCCCACAGTGCAGGAATAGTGCATTCTGTGTCCCCCTGCTACTGAGCAGGCATGGTAAATGACCATTTCAACACATCTCCGGGAGGCAAGGCAGTTCAGGCTGTGAGGAAATGGAGTTCTAGAGCTTTGATGAGACGATTAGTGAAGCCTTGAGTCTAGTTTTAAACTGGTATTTAAACTGCTGTTATTTAAAGCCTTATGTACATCTGAATTATTTTGGGAGCAACGGTGGAAACAGCATAAGAAATCACTATGCCACTGTTCAACATAAGTCAGAGGACATCAGAGGGCAAAATGAAAAATACAGCAATACTGTCAAGACAGTACTACTGTAGTCATTTATCCTCGTGGTCAAACTGTAATTGAGGGATTGCAATGATAAAAGAGCCATCCCTAAAACGTCCTGGTTCACCTCTCACTGTTTTGCGCAAATCGTGGCGATGAGAACATGAGAAGAGATCTTAGAATGTTGGGATTTCTGAGTGCGGTTCCATAAGCTGTTGCAATAGTTTGTGTATGTGTTTTGTTTCTAAACAGTAAAGGCAATTTTGATGAGCTAATAGTGTTGAATGTAATTTCTTGTTGTATGGTGTTTTGCCCTGGATATGAACTTTAAGACTGGAACCAAGGAAAATGAAAGCAAAAAAGGAAAATGCTTATAGAACTGCACAGGTGCTTAGTAAGGTGGAAGAATCCCTGTGGAAATTCAGAACGAACCTCCTGCTATCTGTTGCCATAAATATGTATTTGTGGTTGTTTCTTTGCTTTCATATACTACTTTTGTATGCTGAACTACTTTAAAATTACTACTTGTTCTTATTCTTGACACACCCATCTTTTAATGCCTATAGTATATTCGTATTTCTTTCACTGCGGAGATGGAGGAGAGCACATGGCATATTTGGAAAGGAATAGCTAATTTTAAAGTCAGTGTTTCATATCAAACTGAGACTATATTTAACTTAGTAAAGTGTGTTTGCACGTAGAAGTGGTTTTTCCCTCTGAGTTAATCCTTTAACTTTCAAAATCAAACAGCTTGGTGTTTTTCCCTGAAACAGGAATGTGAGAACAGTCCCTTCCTCACGTAGTTATAATACATCAAAGGGAAGTTTATTCCTTGCATAAAGCATTCATTTTAAGAGTTTGGCAAAAAACATTAGAAATGTTTGTTGATGTTATGGTCATTATTTATAACCAACACCACATCACCTCTCTTGCAAAATCCCCCATCCCTTGGTATAGTTTAAAATGAGCTGCAATGAATGCAGCTCCAAGACAGAGTCCCTCCTGTTCAGGAACAGCACCAATGATGGCAGAGTTGTTCTTCGAAATTACTTTGTAGAAGTATTTGTTAAAGGTGGTGGTGCATCAGAGCCAGTGGTGTAGGTGAGTTGTTTGGTGGTGGTTCTCAGGCAAGAAGAGGCAGTCCCACTTTGTGTAAAAGGAGGGGAAGGTGAGGTGATGAGGGGAGGAAGGAGGTTTGGCACAAGGGAGTGGGTTGCATTTTTTTCTTTAATGGAAATTTTCACGTACAGTCTTTTCATCATATTTCTGTACTTCTCTCCCTTTTTGTAGTCCAGGCCAAATGGGTAACGGGATCTCAGCTTTCAGCAGTTTAAAGCCTGAAAACATGTTTTAAAGCACGGTTCTAAGCCACTTCTCAGTGTCCTCGTAAATGTTTAAAATTAGAAGCCTTTTTTCTGAGCCTGAAAGCATTCTTATGTTTCAGGCTATTATGATTATGGTGGATTATGAAAGGTTGGGATTTTTGAAAATAGCTTTGCATTAAATGCAGATGTGTTCTTTGTTTAAAATGTATTGGGTTTGCATTTGTGTTCATTTTGATAACATTTGGAGGTATGAAGTGAACCTTATTTACAGCAGCATTAAATACTGCGTGTTTGCTGTTCAGCGGAAGGGTTGTTATGAATACAGCTTGCTGTTTACCTTGAAGCTGGACAAGTTAACATCTGGTTTTGCACATAAATTTTATTTTTAAATTGTTGAAATGAATGTTATTGTTTTTCTAGCTGTAGTTTTGTACACCTCTGATTTTTCATTAAATCTGTGTTCCAGCTTCACTGTTCAACTTTAAAGCTGTTCCTCACATGGAAAGTTGTTCCTTCATCATCACACCATAAATAATCAAAGCTGGAGGAATTCCATTGCTTCTCTGGCTTGCAGAGTATTGCCCTTCTCCAGCTGCAGAGCTACAGTTTCCTATGGCTAACTTGACATAGTTTCTGGCAGTAAATGTTTTACTTCATTTATTTATTAGAATTTAGATCTCTGGTGTTCAGCTCCATCAGAGTTTCTGTCATACCTCATTAGATACTTCTTTTATCTACTATTCGCTGAGCTCTTTAGAGATGGTGTCATAAGAAGGATGAACAGGTATTTAAGGGAGCAGATTTCAACCCTAACTTTGTGCAGATGAAGCTGACGTTTGAGAATCAGCAGCTTATCTAGGCTCAGCCATGTAGTTTATTATATTTCTACAACACATCCACCTACATGCGCATCTGTTTTGGAATGAAATATATACTTCAAATTCAGCTGTCAGTTATTATCAAACCTGTACAATGTGACTTTGTGATTATTATGCATAAAGATTAAAATGCTATTAGCTGTAGTAGGTTTACTTGTCAAATTCCTTATAGCTCTGAAAAATGAAAATCTCTGCGTGCTAAGTATGACACAGAAGAAATCTGGTCTCATGAAGAAAATTCTGATAGCTTAACTGTTGTCCTCATTTCAGTGTGTTCTTTCATAGCTGATCTGTCACATTGTAGGATTTTCTTCATGTTTTATTAAATTGCCATAATATTTCTTGGTTAGGAATACTGAAGAAGACCTGAGCCCGCAAGCAATTTGAGGAAAAAATGTGTTTACTGCCTTTCTCTGTACAGACAGACATGTCCATGAAATCAAAATAGTCTTGGTGGCCATACAAATACATGCACAATGTGAGGCAACGTGCAAGATTTGGACTTCAGTGTATGACTTTATGAGGCTGACGGTTCTGCAGTTCCAAAGTAGAAACTGCAAATTTAAATGTAAAAGTAACTTGCTTTTCAGACTCCAGTGAATCTCTTAATACCTTACTGGCAGACCTTCAAGAAATCCTAAGATGACAATAGCATGCTTCTCTACTTGTGCTTTTTGTGACTGTTTTTTTTTGATGTAGTAGTACCAGTAGCATTCTAAAATATGATAGGTCTGGTGCTGTCGAGTACAAAGGAAGCTTTTTCTTTTTTTTGTTTTGCTTTTTATTGACTTTTCCATGTAAGCGTTAGCAGTGATGGGGTGAATTATGATTTCTGCTGCTGACAAATCCAGAAACATTATTATGAAGTTATTTTGCGGAAATTTCCAATTTTAATCTAGTATAGCAGATGAAATCAGTGAAAAGGAAATTCTACTGGAAAGAGATACATAAGCAAACTGTCCCGTGTGTGGATTTCTGTGCGCAATTACGCTGCTGTAGGTGAAATTTATAAATCATAGGTCTTCTACTAGTTTGTTCTTATTCACAGTTACTTAGAGTGACCAAGGGAAGTAAGAGTTAAAAACTGATCATGCCTTCTTTTTTGCTTGAATTTTGTTAAATATTTCTACTGTTGTGCCAGTCTAGATCATGGTCCAAGGTATGTAGATACTCAGACACTTTCTAGAGGACTTACAACATAATTCAGGGAAGGAAAGGGAAAGAAATACGTGAAGGAAGTAGTGATGATGAAGGTGGGCACAATGCATCGAATATAAGGTCAGTATGACTAGCTTTTGATGTGTATGTGGAAGTGTCCTGTAGCCTTAATCTGAACTTTTCCCACTCCCTGTGGTTACAGGGTTCCAGTCTGCTCCCACCTGAGGCATGTTAGTCTGAAGCTCCTTCAGCTTCCTTGTGCATGAGCTTTTCCAGATGGCATAGCTGACGCTGTGAATGTCCTCCTCTTCGGTGTCTCAGTTACACACTTGTAGTTAGGTGAGCTACATGATGTCTGCTGAAAGAACCTGCTGTCAGACTTGAAAAGTATGTGGTTTTCAGTTTTCTGAGGAAAGCATCTTTTAGCTTTAGTCCATAAAAGTGAAATCAAATGCTGCCTCTGTACTTAGAAAAGTAAGAAAATGGCCACCCTACCTTTTCAGCACCCTCTATGAACTGCTGTGGCTGAATGCAATTTGTAAATGTGATTCAACAGTTAGCATCATGTCTGGCATCTTCACTACAAGCTAAAAGCCTGGGATCAAGTAATTGTGAATGCCCTTTTGCAGAATGTTTCACTAAATTGTTGGGGACGCCTGGTGTCAGCTGGGCCAGCCTCCCGCCCGAAGCAGGACTTAAGGACTGAGCACCCAGCCTGGAGCAGAGCACTATTTGGCTTTGTGGAAACTACTTCTATTGCTGTTCCCACTGGTCTGTCGCCAGTGGTGGAGTCACGAGTGTAAACAAGGCTTCAGTGTGGTAGCTGATACTCAAGCACCATCATAAGCAATTTTATGATACTTGTAAAGAAAGCACAAAACCTGGGACAGAAAAGTCCCCCTTGACCCAAATCAAGTTATGGCTTCAAGCAGTGATTCTTCAGTAGTGAGAACTTCTTTTGGCTTAAAGCCCTTTTGTTTCTGTTGTTGCAGACCACGACTAAGCCTCTTGTCTTCTTACAGGAAGCAACTTACACTTCTTTGACTACTCTGCTTTTTCCGGGACTTCAGGCTCTGTGCCTTTCGCATGCAGTGAATATATTTTTTTCTACAGTTGATTTAGGACAAAAATAAAGCATTTTATTTCCTGCATGCTAACTAATTTTGCGCAGCTTCAGGTTTAATGTGACTTCTGAACATACACCCAATCAATAAACCTTCCTATTGCTGGAAACAATAAATGACACGGTGAGGGAGGAAAGCAATAAATACCCCTGTGACCGTAGCTTTGAAGCAATGGAGTCGCTTTCCACTGGAAGTTTAATTTCTTCATGGTTTTAGTTAAAAGCTTTTATTAATTTTAACTGGCGTAAATACACTGCTGTACTTTGCTGTTCAAATAAATCCTTTCTCAGCTCTGAGTCCTTGGAGTTTAAATCCTGTGCAGCCATTTTCTACTATCTGCCAATTCCTTGCTAAGTGCAAACCTGACACTCTTGCCAATAAATCCACCTTTGTGCCATTTAAAGTCATCTGCCGTCTCTTCTCTGGAGCTAATCAAAGTTTACAAGACGACATTTTTTAAAGGGAACTGGCTCTACAGTTCAGGCCATTTAAGTTGTGCAAGTTAATTAAAGGAAATTGCAGCGAGCTATAAAACAGAGAAGTGGTACAGACTGTTTGAAAGCTCACTTACTTTTATTCTCTTTTATGAACAATTGGAGAGGAGCTTTTCCAGGGAAGGATTTGGAGTGTTGTGCTGGTTTGTGTGCTGCATTCCTAATCCACTTTTCAGGCTCTCCCGAGTACAGCACAGCAGAGCCCAGCCGTGCTTCCTAAGTCGATTGCAGCCTGTTAAAGCACTGTTTTATTTTTACCTTGTGAGACAGCTGGGCTGATAAATGGATGGGA